AACCAACGTGAGTCAGGTAAAAGAGAATAAAAAATGACTCCAATTTGAGGGGGCCTAGTTTAGTATGTGACCTGACCCTACGTTGCATTGGGCAACCTGCCAAAGTCAAAAAGGCGCTGGCCGAATGCAAATAAAATTGCCGTATTTATATTCAACACACACACACACACACACACACACCACACACACAGCCAAGAATCTTGAGCTGTTTTCGCTGTGGCCCCTTCGCATTCGCACGCTTTGACACCTAAAGTGTGCGCCCATACGCCTCCACAGCCCATGGTCGTATGGCCTGAGGCTGTGTTCCCTTTGCAGCCTCTTTGCCTAGACCCCTCTCACAGCCCCCTTTGTACCCGCAACACTTTTCGCCCAACGAGGACGCCCTCGCTGGTTTATTTTAATTTTTTGTTCGCCTGCGCTTTCGTTTTTATGTATCAAGGCGAGAGAGGAGCGTATATAATTTTTTTCCGGAGTTTTTGCTATGGCGCTGCCCCTCGGCAACATTTGCTGCCACACAGCCGGCGCAACCCTCTCGCCGGCTCTCAGTGCTGGGCATACACTCTCGCTCTCTCTCTCTCTTCCTCTCTCTTTCTCTCTGCCATTTGGCTCCGCGCGCTGCTCAATAGGTCTTGCACTTGATAGGTCAGTGACCCAGTTGGATGTGCCTGTGTGCGTGTGGCTGCTGTTGCGGCAGGGCAGTGCTAGCGAGGGTTGGCAGAAGCTTTTATTGAATGTTTCGTTAGTTATGACTAACAAATCAAAGCCAAAAGCCAACTTCTGCTGTTAACAATTGTCAACGCTCCAGCAGCGATAGCTATATGGCAGACTGTGGTTGCGCCCACCTCCGCCTTGCCCCAGCCAACTGCAGAACGCATCATGTTGCATAAGCCTGCCATTTCATCGTCATTATCGTCGTCGTCGTCGTCGTCGTCTTTTCTCTATCGTCTGTTGTTTTTATTTCAGACTTCTTCTGCGCTTTCCACAAAGTCAATGTTCTTGGCGTTTTCGCAGCTGCTGCTGCTGCTGCTGTTGGCGTGGCATAGGGTAGAAGTTAGAGCCGTGTGGAGCAGGGCACAGCATTGGGGGCCGGGTTGCACAAGATTGCGGCACATGTGACGCTGTGGTCGCGTGCTGCTGCTGCTGCTGCCAGCCTCTCAAATGTTGGCCCTTGGTCCCTTTGCCCTAGGCAAAGCCCATGCGAGTTCGACTGCAGGCGCAACTCTTGCCATTCGCTTCATTTGAGTTTTGTTGTTGTTGCAATTGGCTAGGGCGAGGGCAACTGCTGCTGCTGCTGCTGCTGCTGCGGCCTCTGCTGTTCCTCTTATCAAGAGCAGGTCATCAAGATGGGGATAAACTGGCTGGTTGGGAGGCCATAGAAAGTGTTATTTAAGAAAAAATAATAATAATATTTGTATATGTGTAAGCGCGTTGCGCCCCGATAACAATTTATCGATAACAAATCGAGCCCGACTACTTGTCTCAGTGCATACATAATATTATCTGCCTTACACACATTTAAGCAGCTTAATCTGCTCGCACTCTCTGTGCACACTTGGCGCTCTTCCTCTCTCCTTCGCTCTTGCTAGCTCACTGCTTAACAGACGAGCCAGAGCCAGCGCTTAATTTAACGGTAATTTGTGTCGAACAGACAGCTCAGCTTGCAGTGCTGTCATAGTCCAAGCCCCGTTACCCCCTTCGCCATTCCTTTTACGCTGCTGCGTTTGTTCTCCATTTGCGCTGCTGCGGCTGCTGCGCAGGCGCACAATTTACAGTTGTTTAGCTACTGCTGCGGCAACGCCTAATTGGTTGTTGTTGCTGCTGCTGCTACTTATAGTAAATATGAATTATTATTTATTTTTATTGAAGCGGGCGGCGGCGTTTTCGTCACATTTTGCGTGGCGGCTGCCAAATGCAAAAATGTATTTGTTTTCATTGTTGTTGCTGTTGCCGTTGTTGCTGCTGCTGCGAAATTGTGTAATAAATAATTTACGCTCGCTTTTGCAGCGTGCCACATAATCATATTCAATAAAAACAACAACAGCAGCAGCAGCAACAGCAGCCGCAGCCTCAGCAGCAACTTGGGTTGGGCACTGGACACTACTCCACTTACTACTCTGGCCCCGACCCTCGCCCCCTCCCTCTCTCACCCACCACTTGTTTACTGCTGGCTCGTTTAACTCTTTGGGTCGCTGACCCAGAAATGTCAACGGGGAAGTCTTTTAATTTGTATACATCGTTTACATATAGACTTTATTTGTCTCTTTTTTTATTATTTTTATTATTATTATTTGTCTTAATTTTTGTTATGGGCGCTTTGAAAAGTGATTTCAATTTGTTTTCCTTCACATTTATTGCTTTTCTTTCGGGTTTTATTGCTTCTTTTGCTACTTTCTTGTTGCTAAGGTGAACTGTGTAATGATGACAATACATACATACACACATACATACGTGTATATGTATGAAATATGAATCATAAAAACATAGCCAACTGCATTGGCTCTCTCACATTACGCTTAATCAGTTTCATTGCAAAAAACAAAAGAAATCAACAGGCGGCAGCTGCAACTGGCTTGGTCTAACACATACACACGCACACATGCATACATATGTAGGTATATGCGCGTGTGTGTGCTCTTCGATACAGCTCCTGCCGGCAAGCACCGTAGTCAAGTAATTGGAATCCCTAATGAAAAAGCTTTGTGATAAAACCAGCAAAAACGAAAACCAAAAGAGAGCAACAGAAAAATGTGCAAAAACAAATCAAACTAAGGCACAACGAGCCAGAGAATAAATCATAAAAATCGAGCCCCCTTTTTCTTGCAGTGCGCTGCCGCCCCGCTTCTCTCTTCTAGTCCTCTTTAAAGGCTCTTCGCTTGTTGCATGCGCATTCATGTTCATGTTTTTGTTTTTTTTTTTTTTTTGAATTTCATCATCTTGGGCAATCCTTGCATCACACCATTCGTTATGCTCGTGTATGCATGTGTGAGAGCATGTGTGTGTATGTGTGTGTTAGTGTTAGTGTGTCTTATCTTTAACGAACGTTGCGACTTTATTGACGTATTTGTCAAGTAGCGAAGAAGAAAATTCGGATCATACGATAATATGTATGTATAAGTATGTATGTAGCAGTATTAATCTACTACTTTTTGTAGGGTTAATTGTAATTCAATTTAATCTACTACTTTTTGTTGGGCTAATTGTAATTCAATAAGTATTGAAAGTATCGTACGGAAGTGGTTTCTCCTTTGAATGCTTATTAGAAGAAACAGAAACTTATTAATAGTGGTTTAAGGCATACGAATAATAGAATTCAATCATGTTTTTAATAGCTCAACTCCTGAGGTTTACATTTATAATATTTAATCTTACGTAACATTTATATATTCAGAAAAATGGATCATCTACAAAGAGAATTTAGAACAAACAACATTTACTATATGGAACATATTTTATTTTCCCTTTGTCTGAAATTTCGCGCGCGCAAATTGAGGGAGCTCGAAAGCGCGAATGATGAAGCATAATTTGAGAGCCTGTTTATGGGAAGGTGGGCTCAATGAAACAGGTTTTCAATGTTGCGCGCATTATTTGAGGATATGGTGAAATGGTATAAAACATATATACATATATAAATGGTTTATAAATACTTAAGAACTTTCAATAAATAACTAACTCAAATTCGAATTTACAATCATTTTTTAGCATATAAATAGAGGATTTGAATATTAAATAACTACCAAAATAGCAAAGCCGCTACTACTTTTTTTAAACTTTCTACTACTTTTTTTCTCCGTTGTACAGCACAACAGAATTGTCTGCTACTTTTTTTGGCGCGTAAACTCGGCTTATTCGCTCTCACTGGCTGACTATACCCTGCTCTTAGGTACATGCGTGTATTATAGTATGCAAGTAACACGATTGCTTACGCATTTGAAAATACATATACACACAACATAATGAAAGCCTTAATTTATGAAATAGTATCTATGTAAACACATATTCAATACATTGGTATACGTAATTTTGCTTATAGGATATTTGGAAGTCGTGCCATGTCGACCTGCTTTATTTCTTAGAGCCATAGCCTATACTCTCGCTCTTTTCAATTTCTTTTGCTCCGCAACAAGAACAACGGCAAGAACAACAACAGCAAGCCAGTCGCAATCGGACTTTTTGTTTTGCTTCGACGTTCGTTGCTCTGCCGCAGCGCTGTTTCTCGTTGCTGAGTTACCTGCTCAACAAGATCTTTGTACTGCCTCGCACAGGCACGCTCACAGACACAAGCATAAGCGCGCGCACACACACAGAAACATGCGAGCACGCTCAAGCAGACACAGACAAGCCGCCTACTCGCTCGCTCGCTCTTTTATTTTGCTTTTTTTACTTCGCTCTTTGCATTGTATATGCTGACGCTGACGCTGTCGTTGACGTAGGCGTCGACGTTAACGTCAGCGTTGACGCTGGATGCCCCGCTGTGTCCCCACAGCCACAACTACTGCTCACTACTACCTGCAGCGGCATGCATGTGCATAAGCATAAGCCTACGCTGCTGGCCGACTGCACTCTTCAAGTGTGGCTGAGGCAGCGACTGCGGCTGCGGCTGCGGCTGCGACTGCTCTCGCTCTCCCTCTCTTAATTTGAGCTGTTTTTTAAACGCACGTATCTTGCAGATATTCTGCCTCACATTGCGCCGCACAGCGCAGTCAGTTTAGTTCAGTTCAGTTCAGCCGCGAAGCGAAGTTAGACGTGTTTCCTCCTCAACCCAAGCCAAGTGGAAATCAAATCGCAGTTTGAGTTAGCAACACGTTTTAAGTGCTTCGTGTGTTCTATCCACACACGCCTTGAGAATTTTCCGAATTGTTTGTGTTTTTAAATAAGTTGCGCGAGCTTTATGAAAAATGCAAAAAAAATCGATAGTAAAAATTTAATAAACTAAAAAACAAGAAACAAAAACAAACTTAAAATACGAACAGTGTAGAAAGCAAAACAAAATATAAATAAAAATAAAATATATTAACTAAAGATCATACGATACGAATGAATAGAAAAACAACAACAAATACTTTGAGTGCTTATGTGCTGCAAAACATTTATCGAGTTTAATAACTAAAACAAAAAAATGCTGCAATTCTTAATGTTCAAAATATTGCACAAGAAATACAAAATTAATTGAGTGCACGCCCAGAGGAAAAGAGAGAGAAGAACGAGAGAGCGAGAAGAACAATACGAAAGCGCAAGCGAGACAGAGCAGGACAAAAGTCCCAAAAACGAAACACTGCGCAACAAAAACGAATCTAACCAACCAACCAAATTACAAAAAAAAAAAAACATCCACGAATATCCATACACACACACACACACATAGTCAGAATGGCTGTGCCCTTTCATCTGCCTGTGGAGGAGAGAGATGACATCGCCTCGAGCTCATCGGGCACCTCGAACTCGTCGGGCGCATCGACATCGTCGGGCGCCTCCTCATCGTCGGGCGCCTCAGATGGCGCCAGCAGCATCGCCTCCCAGTCACCCAACACAACCAGCTCGGCCACGCAGACGCCGATGCAGTCGCCGCTGCCCACGGACCAAGTTCTAATCGCCCTCTGCGAATGGTACCAGCAGCACCAGCGACACTACATCAACAATGCCAATGCCACGGGTAAGTCTACAGATAATACGCCAGCTTTACAGCCATAGGCGCACCAGAGCCCAGTTCTACTAAATGGGTCAGTTTTTTTGCTTTCTCTGCTTTTACGCTGAGTTCTAATTATGTAAGTTTCAAGGCTGTCGACTCATTGTCTAACTGAACTTTTTCTGGCACTTGTACTGGGGCTGGTCAGCGGCAGAGCCACAAAAAGGTGCAGCAGGCTTAGAATAGGCGGGAGATAAAGAATCATAAATCGAATTGTAGTAGAAAAGCAAATATACAAATTAGAATATTTTGCTTTTATTAATGAATATAGTCTTTATAGATACTATAGATATAAAAATATTGCATATACAGCTGTGTTCATAAAAATAGTAGTGCTGCGCTACACCAAACTTAAGCCAAAGGAAAATATATAATATATAATATATATAAAATATATAAGAATAGGAAGATGCCCACCTTTTGTTTAGAATAGAGCGCAAATAACAGAATCACGAACAAATTGCCTAAATTTTAATCCGAATACATTTCTCATTAATACATTTATAGAAATGCATTGCAAATAGTCTTATTGCTTTTTTTGTAGTTACTACTATTTTCATTAGTTACTAAAATGTTTGCCAATATTTCAAAATTAATATAAAATTATGTTAATCCTAAAATGTAATTTAAAATTGATTCAAAACCTGAATTTTGTTGTACAACATTTCTACTACTATTTTTATGAACAAGGCAACTTTCCTCAAAGTAAACAGATAAGATGGGACTTAAAGAAAAATAAATGTTTTTCAATAAAAAAAAAACTGTTTCAGTTACATTAAAATTCCCAGAACATTTTTTTGCTACTATAAAGCAATAAATATATATATATATATCTATAAAGATATATGTGCTTATGACTTCATATACAAAGATAAAACAAATTTATTTTAACAATGCTCTGTAAAAGTATACAAAAAAGCAGTAATGAAATCATATGTGTCAGATATATCTAATTAATTATATATATCAGAGATATATTATATATAAAATATTATACAAATATCAGATAAATATTTCTTATAAATCAGAGTGTTTCATATAAAACGAATTAAAAGATTGTTTTATGAATCTTTATATTTTTCTTAAAATATAGATATAATAAATAAATATACAAAACATTTCTAATGCAAATTTATCTATTACTAAAATTATGCGCAAATTGAATTTTCTTCATATTTAATTCAAGTTATCTATATATTATTATAGGCAAGATATAACATATTATATAAAGCAGAAAACTCTTTTTGTTTTAAAATTGAAAAATCTTTTAAAGAAGTCTTATGCTAATACTATACTTAACTATAATATATTTAGTATATTGTATAAAAAAATGTTTGGGAAATTCCTATTTTTTATATAAATTTTTTTATATATCTGTATATAAAATATAAACAACTTTTAAGTGCATTCAACATTTTGGAAAAAAATCAAAATTATTTTAGTCATCAGCAGTTCTTTAATCTAACACAAATTCATAAATGATTGAGCCTCTGTATATATATTATCTTTTATATATATAACACAGCTGTATATATATATATAGTCATATGATTCAATTGCAAATTATGGTCAGCTAGTTTGGTTAGTGCCACGCCTCTGATTACGCCTGAGCTGGCTGCGATAAGTCAATTCAATTGCCAATTTAGCGAAATGTAAGCCACCAATTTTTATGCTTCATGCTGTGTTTTAGCAGCTAACAGCGGCAGAAGGTGGGCGTGTGCCGCTGCCGCTGCTGCTGCTGCACGTTTAATTGGCACGCGCCAAAAAGGAAAAAATAAAAAAAAAGCAAAAATCGAAATAGAACTGCACTCGATTGCAGTCGAATGTCTTATTCGAATTGTGTATCTGTTAGATACGTATCTTTTGTGTGCACGTTTCTTGGCCAAAAAAAAAATGAAAAAAAGATATTATTAAACGCCATTTGACCTTAGGCTAAGCAGGCGAGGAGGCGGGCAGTTTTCGGCTGTTTACAAAGCAGTTGAGACCTAACGGTTGTTCGCTTAGCCTTTAACTGCGGTCAAAGCTTGTTGGCCGCCGTCTCGCTCGCACTCGCAGCTATTGCATAATATGCAGCCAGCCCCTTTGTCGTCGGCTGTCAGCTGCGGTTAGCTGGACATTGAGCATACTCAACTCTATTTTTTTGGCATTGTATTTTGTTGTTGTTGTTTTTTATTTATTTTTTCTTTTCGATATTTTTGCAACTGTCAGCGACGTCAGCGGCGTCAGCTGTGAGGTGCACGTTCTCCGCCTCGCTCGCTGATTATTATTTATGCCTGGGCCTGAGAGCGCCCTGTCATGGCATGAATCACTTTTAGTTATATTTAGTAGCTGCAATTTGGATATTATATTTATTGTAACATTTGCGAAAAGCAATCTCGTTGGCCTGTCCAAAACGCGTTGGCAGTTGCCGCTCGTTTGGCTAATTGCCACAGCAGGAGGCATGCCACTCGCTCTGTCTGTCTGTCTCTGTGTGTGTTGCAATCTGCTCGAAGCTTTTCACTTGCGTTATGCTTGCAACTCCACGCTAATCTCTTAAGCTGTTATTAAATGCCATTTCATAGCAAAGCCAACAAAGCTGAGCGCCTGGCCTGGCCCCTTGTTAGCACTCAAGTGCATAATTTATCTAATAGTAACACATTTGAACTAGCGTAGCACTTGATGATGGCTAACCCTATGCCTGATGACAAACCCTTTTTCATTTTTCTATTTGATACCGCAACATCTTCAACGTGGCAACAGCGGCAAGTCGCAGGCAGAGGCAGCGCTTAGTCATCGACGCCAACTAGCAACCCCAAAGCCTAAAATATACATGAATATACATGCATGTGTATACGTATATAGATGCCACAGCTCCACGCCCCTTGCAGCTGCCTCTAATCTGTTGGCTTGGCTCGTCATCGGCAGCCACGTTTGGGGCGCCTTTTGTGCTGCGAGCGGCTGTGCGCCTAAGTTGCTTAAGCGGCTCCAAAAAAACCCACCCCTAAAACGTCAGCGCAGAGCCTAACAAAAGGTGCAATGACAGTGCGGTGCCACAAGCCCCCAACCACCAACCCTGCAACTCCCCCAACAATCAGGCTAAAAGCGACGCCGTTTTGGCTGCTCTCTTTTGGCCTGGCCATTCGCATCATTCGACAGTTGCTTTTGGGCTGTTGCCAACAGCTGTTGCTGCTAGGCGTTGTCGACGCTGGCAGCGCTGTCGCTCTTGACATTTTCCACCATTTTGTTTTGCTCAGCAACTTCGCTGGCGGAAATCATGATAAAAATGGCGGCAAACATGGCGACCTTTTGACGTGGCCGCTTTCCTGTTCCTGCTTCGCTGTTGCTGACCTGGCAACAGCTGACTGGATTGTGCGCACAGCCAGAGAGAGAGAGAGTGGGAGTGGGAGCGGGAGTGGGAGCGGGAGGCAACTAGCTAGCAGAGAGTGTTGCTGCTTATTATCTCATTGCCAGGACTTGGCTCACTCATTTTGTACAGCCTACACAGCGACTTGTTAACTTCATCATCAGCATCCGCAGCAGCAGCAGCAGCGGCAGCAGCAGTGGCAGCAGCAGCAGCAGCATCTGCATTTACATTTGCTTTTTCCACTTTGCGGCTGCACAAATGCAAATTTACACAGCTCTGTTGCCAGGCCAGGAGACTGTTATATATATATATATATGTATATATATATATATATATGTGTGTGTGTTTTAGCCCTGGCTTTGTGCATTGTTTTCTTGACTGTTTTGCTGTTCGTGATTTTGTTTTACATTGACCGTGAATTTATTTGCCGCTGTTTTATGCAAATCTCAAATGTTGCCTCTCGTCGCTGCGGCAGTTGCTTTCATTAATTGCTTCATTCAATTTGTGGATTGCAGCGGATGTTGCCTGCGGTGCCAGCAGCTGCTGCCTCATAAACATTTTGATGACCAAAAAATCGATCTGTGGCATGCAACAGCATACACACACATATATATATATATAGCTGCAGTTATAAGAAAAATATTGTTGATGCCTTGGAGTTTACTTGCGTCACAGCTGATAGCCTTTCTCTACCCTAACAGCTTCGTCTTTTTTTATTTTTTGTTTATTATTCACACCCATTCAGCGCAATGAACTTTTCGCATTTCAAGTTTAAATGCCCGCCAGGCACTTTGGTTAATAAGTAAAGCGCGAGTCGACTCTAGCGCGAGTTAGATAGCTGCACAAACTTGACACTAGCAATGAGGCAGCTATAGGCGCCAGAGCTAAGTAGTAAGAAGTAGTAGGTGGCCAAGTGTCTGGGCTGTCTGCTCAGTCTGTGTCTAGTTGGCTTTTGATTAAGTCTCACACGTCTGAGGCCGTGCTAAATTGTTTGCACTGAACTGAACACAGGCCCGACTATATTGTATATAGGTGTATGTGTGTGTGTGTGTGTGTGTGTGTGTGTTTTATTTTCGCTTGTATAGAGAGAAACGTGCTCAAGTTTTTGTTATGAAATTGAGCCTAGACAGCGAGGCGCTGAAGCGCTGAAGCGCTTGAGCGTCAGACAAAAGAAATGCGCCTGGGATGCGCTCAAGGCAAAGTGAAAAAGGATATGTATCAAAAGGAAGCAAACTAAGAACAGGATATGCCAACAGACTACAGCTACTTGTTATAATTGGCAGCACAGCGACGCTAGTTGGAAGGCGGGGGCGGACTTAACTTTAAGCCAACTCCCAAAGCAGAGTTCTGATTAAGCTTATCAACGCGCTCTCAGTGATTTGCCCCGACTAAATATATAATATATAAACTATAAATACTCATTAATAAAAAATATGTAGGGGGGCTGCAGCTCCCAGCTATCAGCCGCAATTAACAACGCAAATAATAATAAAGAAAAAAACTTTTACAATTAAACAATAAATGAATTTTTACAGCAAAAACGCTGAGCAGCATTCGATCAGATGAAACGCAATTAAAATAATTAAAAAAAAGCAAAATAAAAACGGCAAAATGCACGTTTTAT